TGTTAGCAGATCCCTTGACTAAATGCATGCCTTCAGTTAAATTCAAGGATTTGGTTCAGAAAATGGGACTTTCATCCACTTTGTGATTTGTATATACATTCAGTTTCAATAAAATTCTTTGGCATTCAGACATTTTCTCAATTAAGTGTGTACACCTTCATTTGCTTTATATTGATGAGAAAATGTACTTCAGGGACTTGGAATAAACATAGGGTTTATATCATTGGGTTTTGTTTCCTAATTAAGTGCTCAATGACATTTTGCATTTGATCATAATAGATACTACTCGCGCTAATGAGAACATATCATTATGGTTGGTGTTTTTCTGTTATTGAATGGTAGTTCTTGCACAAGTGGGAGAATGTAATGTTTTATCCATTACTATTATTATAACATTAGGATAAGTTATGATAATATTAAGTATTTGATATGTGGTGCAACACTAATAACCTAATAGCTAGACTACCATTATGGTTTGGAGTCTAGTTAGGGTTTAGGAGACCTAAAGACACACAACCACAATGATGGCCAGTGGTTATATAAGGTCACTAGTCCTCTCACTGCTCACACTACATACCTCATACACCATCTAGAGGGAGCTGAGTAAAGTGAGAGACAAAGCACTCGTGTTATCTCTGCAGCAGTCCGGATCGTTCAACCGTCTCAAAACTATGGCGGGAGGTTAGTCGGTCCTGTATCACATATTATATGCATGTGATATATATTTAAGTCTAACAAGTTCTACAAAGCATTATCTTTAATTTGGACTGTATTCCATGCAACTGTGGCGTAGTGGTGTCTGAGAAGTTTTATGGTCAATCATCTGAGCCAACCATTGTGCCCTGTATTGAGAAGAGAAGAAGAGTTTCTACTGAGTCAGATTCTAACCAAGAAGTCCATATTCAACAGGTTTTTAGAAATATGAGATCTGCTGCTACTACATCAAAGGACAAGAAACTTGTTCCTCATCTTGTTAAGAAGAGGAGTGTAACTCCTGAAATTCCTAAGAAACAACAAATTGAGGAAGCACAAACCTTCATTCCAATTCTGTTAAATGAGGAAACTGAAAGCAAATGAGAATCCATATTACAAAGGGAACTGATCTTTCAGAAATATGTGGATGTTAATCAGCAAAATTCTGTTTGTGATGTTGTGTCTCTACTTCAAGACATTAGTTTGTTCTCAATAGTGAAGAATGTAGGTCCTTACTCTAAGCTCTTAACTTGTGAGTTTTACTGTGTAATCTCACTGATTCAGTAAATGATCCAACAAGTCCAAGGCATCACAAGGTGTTTATCGGGGGCAAGTGCTACAAGTTTAGTCTCCAAGTGGTTAATGAATTTTACGGACTAGAAGCAAAAACCATGGAGGAACTCAAAAATTGGGATCTAATAGCTAGGACAGTCACTGGTGGAGCTTAATCTCACTGGCCTACCAACAGCCCACTAGACGTGATATACAGTGCAGATTTGAGCTCAAAGTATGCCATACTACATCGTCTGATCTGACTACTTACAATTGGATTCCATTAGCACATCACTATTCTGTTTGTAAGGAATTGAGTGCATTTATGTACCGAGTTGGCGTTAAGAAGGGCATTGCTCTTGGGAGAATTATTTTCTCTCATATACTTTCATTCATCCATCCACGTGAGCAGAAGGTAAAATTAATTACCATATCCTAATCTGATTCTTGGAATATTAACTTCTTAAGGAAAGTCTCTATACCCCATAAGGTTAATTTGAAAACCACAACTCATTAGCGAGTTGATGAAAAGCTGTTGGGTAGTAAGCATGTTAAAGATGTTGAGCCAGTCACACCATCTCTAGCTAGTGCCAACCCTGTCAGATGTCGATGAAGAAAACCTCACTCCCATGTGCCGAGATATGAGATTGTCACTCAAGTTAAAACGCATTGTGAATTACCTTGAAGTTGCTATTCAAATATAGTATTCAATCAACAATAGGACGCTGCCCGGACTGAACTAGCTAGCTACTGTCTTGCTTCGACTAAGTCTATGAGAAGTGTAACCAGCTGCTGATGATAAACATGTCACTGAAGGGAACCCCCTACTGCTTAATTTACTTTTTTATTATTGTGGCAAAAATGGGGAGTAGTGCTGATTAAGGGGGAGTTCGTTTAGTGTAAGTGTTGAGAGTTTCTTGAAGACAATGGTTACTTGGTTTTACATGCCTTTGTTTAAGTTAGTTTTCGTATTTAGGTCTGTAAAAGTTTGAACAATTGTCCTCTGATCTGGAAAGGATGTTATCCTTTATCTTTATGTTAGTAATTGCTCTTTTGTTTTAAGTTTATGGTGGTTTAATTATATTGTTTTTTTTATCGAGTTCTTTTGCCAAATAATAACCAAAAGGAGCATTTGATAGTGTTTAGTGTTGTAATTTGTAAACCCTAACTTGTAATTGGCAAAACTATTATGGGAAACTAGATAGCTAGGTTAGGTTTAGTGTCAGTTAGAGTTTTGATTAAAGATCTCACTACACCAGAGTCTTTGAAAGCTAGTCGTTGGAACTACAACGACTTATCAGGAACAACTAGCTGAGGAATTCTACGGTCTAAGGTTATTTTACAAGAAAACCCTTACCTGACTTAAAACCTCAAGGGTAAGATAGTAATTCCCACTACATGCATGGAATATCTTAGGAATTACTTGTCTTTGTGTTCAAAGATTCAGAGTATTATATACTTGTTAGAGAGAGAATTCAAAAAGAGAGTTGAAGAGTTTATAAAGCTACTTTTACAATCCAAGAAACTCTCTCTACCATTTAAAAAGAGAATAATCTGAGATATCATCTTCCGAAGACATTGTTCATGATCTGAGTTTAAGAAGGTAATTGAAAAGAAAGTTCTGCAAAGCTTTATCTTTGGACTATATTCCATACAATTGTGGTGTAGTGGTGGGTGAGTCAGCGAGGTGGACAACGAAAGTGCAGATCTCCAAAAATTGGATTTTTGGACTGCATATTGCACGAATCTCTGGCCTCCACAATCTCTATAGCTTCTTCAGATTGAGTTTTTATTCAGTGAGCTAGGTATATCTCACATTGGGCTGAGAATGCGTTCTCTTACCGTCTGTTTGAATTGCTGATGAGATAGTGGATTGAACTCACTAATGATGGTCCTCCAGCCGTAGATACGATTGTATCGAACTGGTTAAAAAATACTTTGCTTCCAATACTCAGCTCTCTATTTGATTTACATTATTCCACACTTAGTCATATCGTTGTTGCAATAACTGTTCGAACAAACGAGTTTAGGATTTGTGACAAAACAATCTATCAAATAGATAAGTCAGTAATTTGAGGCATACGATGCCGATTTTTTTCGACATCGTTCTTGCAGACGTAATAAATAAATGATACGATGTCGGTTATAAAAAAACCAATGTCGTATATTTTTTTAAAAAAAATAAATAAAACATACGACGTCGGTTTTTAGGTCAGTTTTTAAGCTAAAAAAGACGGAGAATATTATTTAATTTTTTTTAAATTAACATATGACATCGGTTTTTACCTAAAAACCAACGTCGTATGTTAAAAATAAAAATTTTGATGAAAAATATAATACATTTAAATTATCATAATGTAAAAGCATTACATTTTTTTGAAAAAGTATTACATTTTTCAATATAAATTGTAAACATTTTATGCATGATTTAGTATTACATTTGCTCGTATAAGTATTATATTTCATCTTGACCCGACCCGTCTCACGGACAAGGATTTGTGAGACAGTCTCACACAAGTTTTTTTCCTTTTTTTGGTGATACTTTAATAGGTTAACAAAAGGAGATTACATCCCATGATGAAAGCCTAAATTTGTTTAATTTGGAGAAGAGCACAATGGCTATGTTTGGCAAACCTAGCTGTAAAGGTAGCAAATCTGAAAAGTTATAAGTTAAGAGCTGAAAACTGAAGAGTTGTTAAGCTAACTGGTATACTTAAAAGTGTTTGGTAAAATTAGTTTTTTGATAAGCTGATAAATGTAAAAAGACTAAAAAGGACATCTCCATAAAATTTAAATTGGTTTGTTTACATATTAAAATTTAACATTTTGTTTTCAAAAAAAAAAACATTTTGAAATAAAACTATTAGCATAATTATGATCTAGCATCTCATAATGAAGTATCAATATTGTTGTGAATCTTCTTCATCTCAATAGTGCAAATGTGGCCATAATAACATCAATTTGGGTCTCCACACTAAACTGTGGCATTCTAGCAAGTATCTTCTATCTCTTCTTCCTAAAAAAATATAACACTAAACTTTTATAAGGAATAAAATTATATGATTTTTATTAGAGTTAAAGTAATACGAATATGATACCGTGGGGCGGCTTGGAAAAGTTCATTGATGGTGTAATAATTGCATGAAGAAATACACGTGTATCATGTGTTGATCCTTGCCATCCAACAGATATAAAAGTGAAACACATATCAAATTAAAGTCACACGCTGCCAAAACATTGAAAGTAGAAATTCCTTTTGTCCCTCTACATCGCAGTTGATCGACCTCAGGGATGCACGTTGCTGTATGAGTATCGTTAATGCATTCAATACAATCCTATTCATATATATATATATATATATATATATATATATATATATATATATATATATATATATATATATATATAATCAATCTTAAAATAATAATAATAATAATAATAATGGTCAAATTTTACCTTAAAATATGGCATGTATCGTGAATCATTAGTAATGTAAGACAGTATAGATTGAAATGTAGGATCATCTGATCTTATGATACCACGTGCAAGGCAATATTAGACAAACAAATAAAACAAAATATTTATAATAATTATTTATTATTACACAAAAGGCAAAAAACTTCAGTCCTAATTAGAAATCTTCTAAATCTTCCCAATCCTTTGAAGACAAACAAATGGTTCTATAAATGCTGATGCCAATTTTGATGAGCATATAGAGTTTGTGCTTTCAATTCTTTTACTTGAAATTTACGCAAATGGGCAATCGGCTTGTAATCCCATCATTGCTATTTGTGATACACTGTCTCCTCCTTTTAATTTCCCCATCTGCATCATCTTCTTTGTGCCAAAATGATCAAAGTCTCATTCTTCTCCAATTCAAACAATCTCTCATTGTAAGTACCCCACCCATGGCCATGGATGCGTGTGCTTATAATAGTTATGATAGCCAGAAATCCTATCCAAGAACTTTTTCTTGGAATAGTAGCATCGATTGTTGTTTGTGGGATGGTGTTACATGTGACGAATCCACCGGCCAAGTGATCGAGCTTGATCTTAGTTGCAGCCAACTTTATGGAACAATTGATTCCAACAGCATCCTATTCCGCCTTTCTTATCTCAAAAAGTTAAACCTTGCTGGGAATGATCTCTCCGGATCATTTAGTTCACTACATAAATTTGGAAACTTTTCTTATTTGACACATTTAAACCTCTCTTCCTCATACTTCTATGGCCAAATTCCTATGGAAATCTTGCGTCTTCCCAACTTATACTCCCTCGACCTCTCTAAACTCAGTGAGGTAATACTTGAACCTCCTAGTTTCAAGTTTCTCCTTCAAAACTCAACACAAATAAGGGAAATAGTTCTTGATGAAATACCTCTTTATTCGACCATGCCAAAAAATCTCTCTTTTCACATAACAACTTTGAGCCTTTCTCAAACCGTTTCTGACACAGGATTACGAGGAAGCTTGCCATCTAGCATCTTTCACCTCCCAAACTTGAGAAAACTTGATTTGAATTTCAACTTTGATCTCACAGTTGACATTCAAAACAGCAGATGGAACAGTAGTTCTTCCCTTACATACTTAGATCTTGGCTACACTACATGTCCTCCAAATATTATTGAATCCATTGCAAATCTTAGCAGACTCCAGTACTTGGGATTAGCGAGCTGTGGATTAAGTAATGAGGTCTCAGAGACGATTATAAATCTTGAGCAACTCACGGGATTAGACCTCTCAGATAACTATTTGGAAGGCAAGTTTTCTGATCTCTCGTTTATAAAGCTTTGGAGGTTGAAGAAGTTATATCTTTATAATAACAACATCACTGGCAACTTCCCGTCTTCCATCACCAACATTACTCAGTTGCAGGTTTTATCTGTTCCAGAAAATTCACTGTATGGAACACTACCCTCATCCTTGTTCTCTAATCTTTCTACTCTATACATCCTTAATCTCGGTGAAAATCGGTTTCATGGACCCATTCCACCATCACTTTTCAAAAACAAGAATTTGTTTGTTCTTGACCTTTCATCCAACAATTTCAGTGGTACTATAGACGTTAGTGTGCTTTCATACCTCCAAAGGTTGATGGAACTAGAGCTTTCTAACAATTGCATATCCCTAGTCTCCAACACCAAAACCAATAATGCTACAACTTGGTCTCCAAACCTCAATTTCTTGGGGTTATCTTCATGCAATTTGAAGACTTTGAGTTTTTTAAGAGATTCAAAGTACCTTGTGTCTGTAGATCTTTCCAACAATAAAATTCAAGGAAGAATTCCTGAATGGGTTTGGTCCAACCGGCAATTGATGGATCTTAATCTTTCCCACAACTACCTCACTAGTGGTGTGGAAGGAATTCAACTTCTTTCACTTCATACAATTGATCTTCGATTCAACTTGGTAGAGGGGCCACTTCCCGTTCTGTTGGGTCCTTTGGGCATTTTTCTTGCATCACAAAACAAATTCAGTGGGGAGATACCTTTGACTTTTTGCAATTTAAAGTATATTTCCTTTCTAGACTTGGGAAACAACAATTTAAGTGGTACGATCCCACAATGTCTTGGAAATGCAAGCAAGTATTTGGAGGTATTGGATATGCATAACAATGAGTTTGGTGGTTTCATTCCTCTAACTTTTTCCGCAGGAAATCAATTACAAACTCTTAATGTGCGAGGAAATAAGTTAGAAGGAAAAATTCCTCTATCCTTGGTCAATTGTATTAACTTGGAAGTTCTCGACCTTGGAAACAACTACTTCAATGATATACTCCCTCAGTGGCTACTGAAACTCCCAAAATTACAGGTACTTAGTCTGAGATCTAACAACTTCCATGGTACCTTAGCCACTTCAATTACTAAATCCATCTCCTCTCAACTAAAGATCATTGATCTCTCTCACAACGAGTTCACTGGACATTTGCCAATGGAGTTGTTCCAGAGTCTTACTGCTATGAAAAACACTGATGGCGAAGTTGGAAAGGCACGAAGCTATTTTGGACAAAGAACCTACTACAAAGACTCTTTGGTCCTGGTCGTGAAGGGAAGCCAGCGTAACTTTGAAAGAATCTTAACTGTGTTCACCACCATTGATCTCTCGAGTAACAAATTTGAAGGGAATATTCCAGGTGCCATAGGACAACTACATTCCCTTCGAGGTTTGAATTTATCGCACAACATGTTGTGTGGTAGTATCCCTCATTCTCTTAGAAATTTATCCTTGCTTGAATCATTGGACCTTTCTTCAAATCAACTTGTGGGGGAGATTCCAAATGAGTTGGAATCTATTACATTTCTTAGTGTTTTCAATCTCTCCCACAATCACCTTACGGGATGCATACCCACAGGAAATCAGTTCAATACTTTTGAAAACGATTCATATGTAGGGAATGATGGCCTACATGGATATCCAGTGACAAAAGGTTGTGGGAATAATGGTGTCTCATCTCAACCACCTACACTACAAATGCTCCCTCAAGAACACAATGAGAGCATTTTAGATGGGTTTACTTGGAAAGCTGTGCTATTTGGCTATGGTTGTGGCATTGCTTTTGGATTGATAGTGGGAAGTCTCATGCTTTTAACCCAAAAGCCTTACTGGTTTACTAGAATTGTTGAAGAAGAAGGATACAAAATTATGATGAAGGCCAGGAGAAAGAAGTCAAAGGCACTAAGGAGTAGAAGGAGAAGCTAGGTAACTAATTAATAAATGTTGATTTTACTTGTTCTTATTGTTTTTACAACTGATTTTGGTTTCATGTTTTCAGGGCATTCTCGGTAACTTTTCTCTGATAAAGGAATTCACTTCAAATTCATTCAAGGAGTTGATTTATGTGTTAGACTATTGGATAGTTTGAATAAATTTTATTTTCTATTTATGAAAATCTCTACCAGATTAGTTATGCTTTAGTTTCACTTGATTGAGTTGTACGTATCTTCTTCATATTTCGAAATGTAAGAATTGTTTGTAAGATTTTATGGATGGTAAAATATGTTGTAAAATTGATAATTATATAGCATGTTTTGGGATTTGCATAAAACAAATAGCTAGTTGAGGGAAAAAGCAAATGATTAAACAAAGCTAAAAGACCAGTACATAGTAAGGGCATCCTCAATAATTGGGGATTTTACCTCACATTTTTGTGGGCCCCAACATCCACCTCATCATCCACTATCTCACTCAATCACAAAATCTCTTCTTCCCATTAGTTTTAAATTTTTGCACAACTTTTTATGGACTCACCATTTTATATTCATATTTTAATTATTTCTTTGTTTATTTGATTTATAATTTTATAATAAACATAAATGAATGAACATATGTAATTATGGAAATAATGCTATGAATGAACATACATAAATATGCGTATAACATATGTACAGATATAAATTTAATTTAATTAATAAAAATATTAATAAATTTAATAATAATAATTTAAATTTTTAAAAACAAGAATTTAAAAAAAAAAAAAAAAAAAAAAAGTAAGAAGCTGGCCGTTGCAACGGCCAGCGTAAATAAATAAAAAAAAAAAAAGTAGTTTTCAATTGAGAGTAGCCGCTAGCTGGCGGCCACTCTCAATCTCACTGACATTTCTTTTTTTTTTTTTTTTTTTAAAGTCTGACAAATTTTGGGGGTGTGGTGTTGCAGGAGAAAGATTTCTCCAAAATGCAACACCCCCATTTGTCAAAATGTCTTAGGCCAAGTTTTATTGTTCCAAAAGTTTTGTAAAATCCCCCTTTTGGGGATGCCCTAATAATATTCATTCCTCTCCAGAATGCAACCACAAAGGCAAAAGAAAAATGACAAAAAAAAAAAAAAACAAAAACAAAAAACAAAAAACAAAAAAGAGAAGTGTTGTAAATGATATTTATGTATGTAGATGATTCCATGATTACCATTGCTTTGCATTTTTTTTAATCATGATCAATGTCTCTCTTAAAAGAAGTTCTATACAAAATGTGCACTTGAAAGTTCAAACACATGCATTTGAAGGTACAAAAATGTGCACTTGAAAGCAAAAATTCTGCACTCAAAGGCAAATAGATGTGCAATTAATGCAATTTAGGGTACCAAAAATAGAAGTTACTTAAGTGTTATTAAATCAATTACTCATACAAATCGTTAGTAAATCTCACAAATTTCATTAGAAATTTAGTTATATGTTATTGAAAAAAATGCAAAAGATATACAAATACTGACTCAGAATTGTGCACTTCAAGTAAAAAAAAAAAATGCACTTGAAGGCATAAAAATGTGCACTTGAATGCAAAAAATCTACTCTCGAAGGTAAACATGCACTTGAACCTACAAAACGTGATGTTGAAGACTAAAAATATGCACTTGAAGGCTAAAAACATGAACTAGAAGGAAAAAAATGGTTCACTTGGAATGCTAAGTATTTTTTTTTGTTTTTACATTATAGTAAGACAGACATACACTTGTAGGAATGAAATTGAAAGATGATCACTAGAAGGCAAGGAAAAAAAAAAGACACTAAAAGAGAAAATTCAAAGGAAACTAATTGTGCACTTTTAGAAAGAAAATCATGCATTTGAATGCTACAAAACGTGCACTTAAGGCTAAAAACATGCACTAGAAGAAAAAGAAAAAGAAAAAGAAAAAACAAGATTCAATGGAATGCTAAGTACACAATAGAAAGACACACATGCACTTGTAGGCATGAAATTGAGTACTTGAATGCATAAAAAGGATCACTAGCTAGAAGACAAAGAAAAAAAAAAAGACACTAAAAGAGAAAATTTGAAGAAAATTAATTATGCACTCTTAGAAAGGAAAACATGCATTTGAAAGTCAAATTTTTGCTCTCAAAAACACAAATATGCGCACTCAAAGGAGAAACTAAGTAGGAAACAAATCAGATGCACTCGAAGAATATTTTAAATATTAGTTAAAAGAATATTAATATTATCTGAACTAAATTTTAGGTGAACATGTTATTGATTCAGATATATTTTTTGTTATGTTATATACATATATAAATTTGGTTCGGCTATCAAATGTAAAAATATTACATATATTGGGCTTAAAAATAAAAACTATATTTATTCTATTTAAACTACATATATTTTAAAATATTTTAAAGGATGTAATTTAAAAGTTATTCAAAATTAAACTTGTGTAAATTATATAGCATTAATCCAAAAAAATTAAATTTGAAAAATAAGTGTTAATAAATAATTTTTCTAAATAGAAAACAAAAAAATTTAAAATTAAAAAATAAAAATAAAAAATAATTTACGTTAGTAAACAGGTCTTAATATACTTTCTGCGGCGCTTTTTATTGTGAGCACTTGAAAGCAAAAATTTATGCAATTTATGGTACCAAAAATGTAAGTTACTTAAGTGTTATTAAAACAATTACTCATACAAATCGTTCGTAAATCTCACAAATTTCATTAGAAATTTAGTTATATGTTATTGAAAAAAGTGCAAAATATATAACAAATACTGACTTAGAATTGTGCACTTGAAGTAAAATAAAAAAATAAAAAATAAAAAAAAACATTTGAAGGCATAAAAATGTGCACTTGAAGGCAAAAAATCTACACTCAAAGCTAAACATGTATGCACTTGAACCTACAAAACGTGAAGTCGAAGACTAAAAACATGAACTAGAAGGAAAAAAAAATGCTTCACTTGGAATGCTAAGTATTTTTTTTTTTTTTTTTACATTATAGTAAAACAGACATACACTTGTAGAAATGAAATTGAGCACTTGAAGGCATAAAGATGATCAGTAGAGGCAATGGAGAAAAAAAGACACTAAAAGAAAAAATTTGAAGGAAACTAATTGTGCACTTTTAGAAAGAAAAACATGCACTTGAAGGCTACAAAACGTGCACCTAAGACTAAAAACATGCACTAGAAGAAAAAAAAAAAAAAAGATTCAATGGAATGCTAAGTACACAATAGAAAGACTTACATGCACTTGTAGGCATGAAGTTGAGTACTTGAATGCATAAAGAGGATCACTAGCTAGAAGACAAGGGAAAAAAAAAAAGACACTAAAAGTGAAAATTTGAAGACAATTAATTGTGCAATCTTAGAAAGGAAAACATGCACTTGGAGGTCAAATTTTGCTCTCAAAGACACAGAGATATGCACTCAAAGGAGAAACTAAGTAGGAAACAAATTGGATGCACTCGAAGAATATTTTAAGTATTAGTTCAAAGAATATTAATATTATATGAATTAAATTTTAGGTGAACATGTTATTGATTTAGATATATTTTTAATTATGTTGTATACATATATAAATTTGGTTCGACTATCAAATGTAAAAATATTACATATATTGGGCTTAAAAGTAAAAACTATATTTATTCTATTTAAACTACATATATATTTTAAAATATTTTAAAGATGTAATTTAAAAATTATTCAAAATTAAAATTGTGTAAATTATATAGCATTAATCTTAAAAAAAATTAAATTTGAAAAATAAGTGTTAATAAATAATTTTTCTAAATAGAAAACGAAAATTTTAAAATTAAAAAATAAAAATAAAAAATAGTTTACGTTAGTGGTCTTAATATACTTTCTGCGGCACCTTTTTAAGAAATGTCGCGTAAAGTAACTTTGAAATTCGAAATCTCTCTTTCTTGATTTAAAGCTTTTCTCAGACTTCGTCCACAATATATCCGTTTGTTTCTTAAAGCCTTTTTTCTCCTTTAATTTTCCTTCATCAAAGGTTTTATAGTCTCTTCTTTTTCTCTTCCAGACTTCCTGGTGGCGGCGTTGTCCAGACTGCGGTAGAGTGACAACCGGAAGCAGGCGGTGGCCTGGCCTCTCAGATCTGGACTGGAAGCAAGCCGGCGGCTGATCTGCGGCGGCGGCGGATACCTTGATGAGGCCGAGATCATCGATGTTCTTAGATTATTAAACTTGGGAAAGAAAATGACCCCATCCTAAGGTGCTTTTGTTCTTTTTGTTTTATATTCTTTCATTAATATTTTATAGTCTATTTACTCTCTAATCTAATCTTCAAGTCATTTTTTTCACTCGTTTTTCTCCTCTTGCCCAGATCTACTCTCTCATTTTCGCTCTCCTCAGTCGCCTCTTTCTCCTCGCTGTGAGTACAGATCCGGACGCAACGGTCCGCAGCGGAGTAGCGGTGTTGATCTTTCTTTCTTTTTTAAAAAATTTTTCCTTTGATTTTTTTTTTATTTCTTGCTGTTGAGTTTTTTGTTGTTGCTACACAAATCTTTTCTCTGCTAGTAGATGCAAATTATCAGGTGACCAGTAGACGTCATTTATTTTATTTTAAAAATGATGGGTATCGGCGACACTTCTAGGTAATTAATGTCGCGAATTCCCATAGAAGATATCTCGACATCAGTGCTATTTGAACAACTATTTATATCCCTTGTGAATCCTCATGAATGAAATCGTAGTTGTTCTTTTCTGAAAATTTTCTTTCATTTTCTTCCCTTGCTTGTTAATCTTTGTTATCATTCATGACTCTTAACGATTCCATATCATAATTTTTGTAGAATATGTCTATCTTCTACCTGCACTTCATATGACTTGTAATAATCCCATCTTGGTTGCTATCTTGACTCATTGTAACCTGCAACAGGTATTGTGCATAATTTAGATAGTACTGCCATTATGCAGGTCATTGCAATTTAAACAAACTTTTAAATCATTAGGTGTTCTATCTCTGTTTATCTTTTCACACTTTCTGATGTGGGGTTTATATGGGTTTTCCTTTTTTAATTCTTTTTAAACTGGAGTTTATCTTAAAGTGATAAATTACCAGACGTCTTGGACTCTATGATTTAATTTCATTCATCAGTACTCTCTTGCTTGCTAAATTCCCTTCAGGTGCCTGCTGATGGAATTGTAATATCTGCACACTCTCTTGCACTTGATGAATCAAGTATGACTGGGGAAAGCAAGATTGTGAGTATGACCCGGCTCGGTATTCCGATCATCATTCATGGGAACAACAATGTCTATGGTGCCACTGTTTTTCCCCACTTTATTGGGCTTGGAGCTACTAGGTTTTTGATTAACTTCTGTTTGAATGTAGATTGATGAGTATTTATTATGAAAGGTGTAGTGATTCACCTGAATTGAAGTAAAGTTGATTCTCAAATTTTGAGTGACTGATGATAGGAAATGTGCTTGATATGTCAGTCTTACACAAATTGAGAAAAAAAATTTAAATTGGAAACTAAAGTTGAATCAATATATTGTGGCTGCCAAATGAAGAAAATATTAAGAGCATCTGAGTGCTCTATTTAACTTCTAGGTTGTATTTCATATGTTAGAAGTTCATTGGTTCCTTGCATATGATGTAACTCAGATCTGCATTAGTTGGAAGTGAGGAGGCAAGTTTTATGTTGGATAAATGTCTACCCCATACTAATTTTCCTCATTATCTCATCTTGGAAACTGAGGGTTCATTTTGATTTAGAAAATTCAAATTTGCTGTATAACACAAGGATCCAACTTGGCACTGTTTTAAAGTTTCTTGATTAACAAATTATGCTGATTTTAGTAGCAAGTTTGAAATTCCCCATTATTAGATTCTTTCCATGCTCCATTTCCTTATGGGTTATTCTCAATATGAAGTTGCTCAGTTCATAATTTTCTATCCATTCCAAGGGCCTTGTAGTCCATTGAGATTGGGCTTAGACTTTTCCCTGCTTCTTTTCTTTAATTTTCAGAATATGTATTTAAAATTTTCATATATATTTAATTCTGATGTTAAAATTGGAAAATACTTCTTTCTTCTTTAATTTGGGTAATGAGAGCCTTTATTGAAAATTGAAAATTGAAAATTGAAACAACCCCATTAGATTGTTGCTTGTTTCTTTATTGCTCTGTATCTTTGTAATATGGATCTGTAGCTGTAGTTGTGCATTTTCCACTCCAGGGTTTGTGATTACAGACTGGGAAGGAGTTACTCAAATACTCATAAATTTGAGGAAGTATAGTAAGGAACAGTTTCTAGCCTTTGTATTTGAGTTTCTGTCATTTATCTTATCTCTTAATCCTTGATTTTTCTATATTTGTATCCTCATAATATATTAGATTAACTAACCACTAATTCTTATGTTGGAAGATCTGTACATATTTAGACCTGTATATCTTTTACCTACCACTGTATAGTAGCCAGAAAAAATCTAAAATTCAAATATCATTGTATAACTTTTTCTTGACAATTGTTTTAGGCACATAGAGAGCTAGCACGTGAAGCTGTACACAAGTCCTTAGTTTTACTAAAGAATGCCAAGAAGATCCTTGTTGCAGGAACCCATGCTGATGATCTTGGTCACCAGTGTGGAGGCTGGACATTAACCTGGTTGGGAACCAGCGGCAGAATCACAATTGGTAAGTTATTCATAGGTGCATATATATATATATATATATATATATATATATATATGATCGGTGGCAGTATGATCAGTGATAATTTCTATAATATCAAGTTATTTAATTTAAGAGTTTAACTTTCTTCTGTAGTTTGTTCTTGTGATATGTTGCCACAGAGATTGAATAATATAAGTTAGTTAACCCCCCTCCCAACAAATCCTCCATAGTTTAGCTATAGCCTTTTTTTTTTTTTGGTTGTTGCTGTGATAAGTACTTAAGTATATGTAAAGCATCTGCTTTTTGTGCTTTATCAATGTTTGATCAGAATTGGGGATTATTCCGCACTCAAGCAGGGTGGTATTTTGCAATGAACTGGTCTCATTCAAGCATATTATGTATCAGATGATTTGTGTTTTGTAGGCACAACCATTTTGGATGCACTAAAAGAAGTGATGGGAGACAAAACAGAAATAATCTTTGAGCCATCTCCTTCAGAAGAAACCTTTAGTGGTCAAGACTTCTCATATGCCATTATGGCTGTTGGAGAGACTCCATATGCACAAACTGCCGGTATGACCCAGAACTCAAAATCCCATTGAATGGATCTGACATTGTTCGGTTAGTCTATAAAATACAGGTTGCACTTATCAAATTTTGGTAGTCTATAAAATACAGATAATGCTTTCATATATAGTTATCCATTGTGACTCTAGTGTTTGTTATCAGGTCCATTTAAATGGTGTGGCAACATTGATTGGTATGGTTGGCCTTATAGTAGCTTTAGTTGTTCTGCTTGTACTTATGATCAGGTATTTGAAGATTGCAGTTTGGCAGGCACTTATTTCTGTTTGAATGAATGTTTTCCTCCTAATGTTTTCATGTATGATTGCTTTTGAATCTGTTACAAAAGTTGTATAAATCTGCAGGTTACCATTGTGGTTGTGGCAGTACCCGAAGGATTTCCCTTAGATGTCACTCTTATGTAAGTTCATTCTATTTTGACAATAATACTGTTAAAGTTTGAGTAGTTCTTTGCATAGCTGCTTCATTTGAAGGGTCAGTTGTATCTATTTATCACTTTCACTTCCCGATTGTGTTTTCTGCCATCGTTAATTTTAATTTCTAATGTATATTCATTAAATTGCCTACTTCAATTATGTTTTTATTGTTATTATGTCATATTCATTAAATACATCACTGTGACGTGAAATATTGATAGTATTGATGAGTTTATATTGGTTGGAATGTATCAGAAAAAAATTGTATTTTTATTAAATTAATTATTTTTATAAAAAAAAAATTAACAACAAGCGTTTGTTCCTACTGAGGAACAAACGCCTATTGTCAACTTTGCATCTATTGTAAAACAGACGTAAAAAGTCTTTTACAACAGACGTAAATTGCTATTTTTTTGGATGGATATTATTGGATTGAATTGATTATTGTGGATTATTAAATTAAATTTTGTTGAGTTGGTGTTGCTGTTTTCTTGTTCTGGCTTTCTGTGGCTTTACTGTTTGTTGGCCTACGTGCCATATATTTTTCGTTTTAGGCCTGCGCGCCATCTTGCTTTATTTTGTTTGATATTATGAATATATCATCCCTAAATCACCCTAAACCCTTAACTCCTAAACCTTAAAAATTAAACCCTAAACCTTAAACCCCTAAACCCTAAACCCTAAACCTTAAACCCTAAACCCTAACTCTAACCCCTAAATACTAAACCCTCTAAATCGTAACTCTAAATACTAAACCTTATACCTTAAACCCTAACCCCTACTGAGGGGGCTAACAGGCCTAGGGGACCAGCCAATGAAGCTCATGCCAAGGTTGGTCCTACTAGTAAGTTTGTTCATGAAGTCTATGGGGGGTTGGGTCTATGAGGCTATCTAGCTGAGATACACCCCCTTTGGCCCAATGATGGGCTGCTTGCTGGGCAGCTGCTGAGGGCTATACAGCCTGTTGAGGGAACTGGCAGTGTAATCACTGTGCAGATGTTGTTTGGTGGATCTACACCCTTGTTGGTGTAGAGATGAAGCCATGTAATTGTTTTGCAGGTAGGAGAAAGCATTGAAGACAAAGAGTTTGATGGATTAGTTTATTGAGCTCCCGGCTCTAGTATGGGCATAATTTTGCTTCTTGGGGCAAAAAAGCTTCTCTAAAAGAGATTTTGGGGTAGCTTCTAGCCTTAGGGGCCCATTCGGGTTTGCGCCATGAATGGTGGGGTCTTTGTAGGCTCCAAGTACAGCTCACACTCGGAGTTGGGAGTGTCTTTAGCTTGTTTGGATCCATAGTAAAAAAGAAGAAAAAAGAGAGAGGCTGAATAGGTGGAGGAGGGAGAGATAAGGGAGAAAAGGAAATGGAATAAAAGAGAAAGTATGATGAGAAAAAGTGATGAAAAGAAAGAGAGAAAGAAAAGAAGAAGGGGTTGAGGGAAGGGGTGAGTTGGAGGATAGCCACCGCTTAGGTCGGGGCCATAAAGGCTCCCCGGGCTTAAAACACGGTACGCCTTGCCGTGGGAGTTGGCCTTTAGCCTAAGGGTGGTCGGGGAGGGAGCCACCGCTCCTGTCGGGTCCTCAAAAGCTCCCCCGGGCAAAACATAGTACGCTATGCCGAGGGGAGTTGGTCTTGGGCACGAGGGTAGACGGAGGCGAGTACTATCGCTCAAGTCGGGACCCGTAAAGTCCCCCCCGGACCAAAACACGGTACGCCGTGCCGATGGGGATGAGACTTTGACTTGAGGATAGTAGGGCTAGGATAGAGTAGACTGGATCCATGAGCTTAGGCATCGTTCCCATCACTTGTGTGGGACGGGGAGCCTATTTTGACTATGATTGTGGTTGTTTTGGAGAGGATTGGGGCTTTAAGGCTATAATCTACCTTTAAATCTCTTTTAGTTATGAGCTTATTAGCTTTAGATTGCATATTTGCTCATTCGATGAGCTGGGAGTTTCTAGTTAGGGGTGGTCACTTTCGGGCCACCTCTTGTATATATTGAGTTTGTTTTATTGCTTTGTTATGGCCGAAAAGGCCAAGGACTTTTTTGAGCCATAGTCCACTTTTGGGGCTATGACGTATACTTGTAGACTCTGGATTTTGAAAATGGAATAAATGCACAGTTATTTAAAAAAAAAAAAAAAAAAAAAAAAACTAACCCTAACCTCTAAATTGTAACCTTAGATTCTAAACCCTAACCCCTAACCTCTAAATTGTAACCTTAGATTTTAAACCCTAACCCCTAAAATGTAACCCTAACCCCAAACCTCAAACTCCAAACCTAAACCCTATTTGTAAACCCTAAACCCTAACCCCTAACCCCTAAATCATAAACCTAACTCTTAAACCCTAACCCCTAAATTGTAACTCTAAATCTTAAACCCTAACTCTTAAATTGTAACCCTAAACCCTAAAAAAATCCTAAACCCAACTCTAACCCTTAAATTGTAACCCTAAACTCTAAAAAAATTCTAAACCCAACTCTAACCCCTAAATTGTAACCCTAAACCCTAAAGTTTGACCCCTAAATTGTAATCTTAACCCCTAACCCTAAACTCAAACCCTAACACTAAACTTTAAACCCTAAACCCTAAACCTTAAAACCTAAACCCTAACTTTAAACCCTAACTCTTAAACCTTAACCCCTAAATCATAACTTTAAATGTTAAACCCTAAACCCTAACCCCTAAACGGTAACCCTAAACCCTAACTCTAACCCCCTAAACCTTAAACCCTAACCCCTAACCTCTAAATTGTAACCATAAAATCTACACCCTAAACTCTAAACCCTAACCCCTGAAATGTTACCCTAACCCCAAACCTAAAACTCCAAACCTAAACTCTAAACCCTAACTCATAAATCGTAAACCAAACTCTTGAACCCTAAACTTTAAACCCTAACCTCTAAATTGTAACCCTAAACCTTAACTCTTGAATTGTAAAACTAAACATAAACTCGAACCCTATACCTTAAACCTAAACACTAACCTAAAAAACCTAAACCCTAACCCTTAAATTGTAACCCTAAATCTTAAATTTTAACCACTAAACCCTTAACCCTAAACCCCAAACCTAAATTGTTGCTGGTTGCTTGATGACTCTGAGAGTTAGGAAATGATGCTTGATAAAACACTGAATGCTGGCAGAATGCAGGAACTGAACTGCAGTTTTAGAAGTGCAACAGCAGGTCTATGGTTGATGCTGAAATCTATTGGTGCACCTAGCTTGGTGGATCAATGGAGAATTTAATGGATGGTGGAAGGTTGTATATCGGAACCACAACAGCCTTCTAAAGCATCTAATGTGGAAGGAGGTTGTTGACAAGGGGATGATCCCAGTTAGGGAGATGAATCCTTTTGTTAATTCTGATTGAAAGTTGACAATGCAGTATGTGTGTGGAAATTGGAATAACTGCAGCTATTTGATTTTGGGCTGCTGTGCAAGCTTTGCAGCTGGAAAACTAAATCAGAAGAAGGGGGCATATGGTGACTGATGTGCAGCAGCAATCTAAAACATTTAATGTGGAGGATTGTTGCAGTCATGAGTCCCAGAATAACTGCAGCAGCCCAAAGCTTCATGAAGTGGTGGGAATGCTGCCATGTGCTGATCTCACCATGGGAAATGATGCACCATGTTCTGATATGCCACTGAAGGTAATTTGGCTCAAGAGAAATCAGGATCAGAGGCAATTGATGGCTTATAACTGCTGAGCATAGATCTATTGCAAGCTGAGAATTATTATTTGAGCTTTGAATAAATGGCTAAGGAGTTGATCTCTAGCCTGTTGAACCTGGGAATTACTTCTGCTAGAATCTGAGAAATTTGATGGCAGTCTGAGGGGTGGAGGTGCTATGTTTGTGATGATGGAGGTATAAGGAGGTCTACCTAAATTGGTGGACTAACTCTTGATTGGCCCATGGAGCTTGGCCGACAGATTAGCCATAAAGAATTGAATCCATTGAAGTTGTGCTTAGATGATGTTGTTTCCTAAAATGGCTGTGGCTTCCATTGGTTTGGAGATATATGGTAAGCTAATTTAAGCTGCTAGAACATAATGATGAGAGGCTGATGTTTCTTTGCAGCAGAAAAAATGAAAGATTGAGTGAAAGAGGATAGTTCATTAAGTTTGGTGGACTAATGGAGGATGGTGGGTCTCTGTTTGGCTGATCACTATCTCTGATTAGAAGGAGGGCAGCCAGAGATTCGACCCTTGGATCTTTACTTGGCGGATGAAATGAAAGGTTGTAGGTCTCGACCCCTGGACCGCATGTGACAAATAAATGGACAGATGAGAGCCTCACTTGAGCTGGGCAATGATAAATAAAACTGGGCTTGACTAATTGAATTAATTCATTTTGGGCTTTTATTAGCTGTGACTGAATTAAATTCATTTTGAGCTAGTTGTTCGGCTGGGCCATATGGACAATGTGAAAGGAAATTAATTCCTGTTGGTCTCTGATGGGCCTAATTGTTTAGTCTCATGGACTAAATAAAGTTGGGTCAATGAATTATCAGCAAGATGGGGTGAAGGAATTAATTTGGCCTAGAGGGCCTGAGAATTAAATGGCCGAATGAGCCATTAATCTATTGTTTTTTTGTAAGCCTTTTCGGCTTTACTATTGGTAGCCTTTTAGGCCTTATCATTTGCTAGCCTTGTTGGCCTTTAGATTGTTTAGGCTTTTTAGCCCATGTAAATTTAAGCTTTTTTAGCCCTTTGAAATTGTATAGCTCTCGGGCCACTTGTATTTTGAGCCTTAGATCACTTTTGGGCCTAAGGCGTTTGTAAGGCTTTGGCCTCTTTGTTTGGTGAAATAAAAAGCTTCGGCTTAGTTTTTTTTTCTTTTTTTTTTTCTTTTTTTTTTTAAACCTTAACCTTAAACACTAAACCCTAACCCCTAAATCAAAACTCTAAATCTTAAACCTTAACCCTAACCCAATTGTAACCCTAAACCTTAAAAAAATCTTAAACCCATCCCCTAAAACCTAAACCCTAACCTCTAACCCCTAAACCTTAAACAGTAACCCTAACGCCTAAACCCTAAACCCCCAAAAACCCAAACCCGTTGGCGGAGTTGTTTTGTTGCATTGTGGTGCAGAGTCGCGGC